GCTGCCGCTTCATCCGCTCAACGAGCGTGTCAATAAGTTAGATTTCAGAGTCAAATTACTTAATTGAGAGGCTCAAGCTTCATCCCGAGACAACGACTGACAAATTGATGAATGTACACGGTGCGGTTTTTGGCAAGAAGCTCAGAGAGGCCTCTTGACGGCAGCTATCGGGCTATCGAGGCAGGAGCCACACATTGGTCCAAGTGCGTCAGCTCACGTTTTTTTCTTTCTGAAAGGCAGGTAGATGTAGCTTTGATTTCGAGGTGACCCCTGGATATGGCAGCCGCAATATCACGGAACATGTGCGCACAGGGTGCCGGAAGCTTCAACGGCACCTGAATCGCGGCTGTCCCATATTGGGCAACTTTTCCCAAGCCTCAGTGGAGCTCTCTATCTTGCATAAATCTACCCCTTCAAGCCTTCCGACTTAAGGTCTGCGGGCCGGACGCGAGCTGCGGCGGGAAGCGTTCCGTGGTGTCCAGTGGCTCCGTGCCGCTGCTTCCTTGGCCATTGAAAAAGCACGAGCTTGCAACAGTATTGCACAAAGCTCCGTGCGCGGGGATACAATGGATATCCAAAAACACATGTTTGACCAGTACACTGCTGCATGGGTGAATGTTGGTTCAGTCCATGTTTTCGATTCGATTTGCTGGCACCATACATACATCCACCTACCTTCCCATATACATCCATACATGCATACATATACATATACATATACATACTACCAGGGCCACGGGAGTTAGTGTACCTTAGCCGGAAGATGTTGGAAGTTAAAGATGTTATTTGGAAGTTATTTTTCAACCAAAACTTTGTCCGGGAAAGTTCCGGATAACTTCCGGTAACTATTTTGGTTTCGTAAATCAACATTTTTTGAAAATGCTAGACAAGCAATATTTCTCGCAGTTGTGCTGATTATTTATATATATATATATATCTGCGGCTCGACCGCCACAACTTGTCGCGCACGTTTGTCCGGGGTGAGACTCTGTGAGACAGTGCTTGTGGCTCAACCGTAGTTTTGTACATGCGGCTCAACCGCAGTGGGGCCCACTCAGCTTGACATGTCCATCACTGCTGCTTCCGCCTTTTGGTACTCCTCAATGTACCAGCGCATATTTCTGTTATGCCTTTCTGACATCAAGTGTTGACCATCGATGGTGGCGTTGCAAAGTATGCATCTGTCGCCTTGTCGCCAGAAGGACAAGGGCAGCAGGACCCTTGCAGGGGCTTAAGGATCAACCGCTGCGGAGCTCGAGCTGGATTCAGCGGCTGCTGCTGCAGACCCCGTTGGTTGCGGCTCAACCGCTGCTGCTGCTGCTGCTGCTGCTGACTCCGTTGGTCGCGGCTCAACCGTGGGCGGCAGCCGGGTGGCGCGACCACAACGCGGGCCGCTCCTCAAGCCTGCTTGGCGGTGGCCTTTGCCTTTGCCTTGGCTTTGGCCTTGGTTTGGGCTTTGGTCTGCAAAGTTTTTTCCTTCTTCTTCTCGGCCACCTCACCAAGCAAACCATTCAGGAAGCCTGTCGCGGCCTTGTTGTGGCGCAGGAGCTCCAGGTCCAGGTCGTCCTTTTGGACGAGCTGCTGCGCAGCCGCTTTGCGGACAACCGCTCCAGCCTGCATGGTTGAGGAAGAGCTTCAGCTGCAGGAGGGCGTTGGTGCAGCTCTTGAAGGACAGGCTGTGCTCTGCGTCCTCCCCGAGGACAACCTCGGCCTGGGAGGTCGCTTTGCGGAGGCGCTCTTCCGTCTGCCGGACCACCGGCAAGTTTTTTGTCGCTGCAGCCAACAGCGACTCGGAAGCCTTTTGAGCGGCCTTCGTCAGCTTGTCCTGCTTCTTCTGCTCCTCCTTGGCTGCTTTGGCCTCGGCTTTGGAGAGCTTTGTCGAGCTGGACTGCTCTACCGTCGACGACGGTGCTGCCGAAACCACCGGCACGTCCCAAGCGGGCTCCTGCTCCAGCGCTTGAGGCTCCACCTCAGCCTTGCGCTTGGTGCCCTTGCGCTGGCTGCACAGCGACTCCCGCTGCAGGAGCAGCTTCCGCACCTCTGTGTGAAGGTCGCGCTCAACAGCAGTGTGCACCTGGACTTGGTAAGTGTGGCCCAGTTGAGGCGACCACTCGTAGTTGCCCGCCAGGACCTGGGCTTCCTCGTAGCCTTGCTGAAGCCACACTTTGAGCGGCAGGAAGGGTCCGCCGAGGGCGTGCTCCTCCTCCCTCACCCTCTTTCTCACCAAGACCTCCTCCAAAGAGGCCTTCGCCACCTCCCAGCTCAAGCGGCCCGACCGCGCTGCGCGCTCCACCGCAGCCTTTGAGAAGAAGCTATTCAGCTATTCTTCTCCGCCTGAGTCATCGACTCAGGCCACTCCCCCAGCTGCCTGCGCACCATCGTGTTGGTGGCCGCGCAGAGCAGACAGTGCCTCTTGCCGAAGCGGCTGAGGTCCACCGCCTTCGGCATCGGCTTGCCGCACAGGCAGCAAGTTGGCGCTACAACTGCACCTTTGCTGGGTGAGGGCTGCGGCTCAACCGCGGCCGGAAATTGCGGCAGGACCGCGTCGGGCGTCTTGGGGGCTTGCTCTTCCGGCTCCACCGGCTTCTCGCACTGGGTGTCCTCCGGCTCGACCGGCTTGAAACACTGCGAGTCCAGCAACTGAGTAGCCGCTCCTTCCTGCGAGGCCATTTTCCAAGGCCGGTTTCAAGCTACACGGCGGCAGACTGGGAACCCAAGCGCTGCAGCAAAAACGCACATCTGGGACATGGAATTTTGCTCGGGGACATTTGGCGACATCGGCCCCGGCCCAGATTTGGAGGGTCAAAATTGTCCGGCGACATTTAGCGACATCGGTCCGTCCCCGCGGCCCACGGATCTGCACGTCCCCGAAGAGTCATACATGTGGTGGCGACATTTGGCGACATCGTGTTTCCCAGAACCTCTGAAACGTCTGGCGACATTTGGCGACATCGGCCCCGGCCAGGATTTGGAGGGTCAAAATTGTCCGGCGACATTTAGCGACATTGAGGGTTTTGGCGTTGTGGACGATTTTCAACCAAGATTCTGCGGCACGACCGCCCCAATGAATGTTTTCCGAAGTCTGCGGCTCCACCGCCGTGGTGCTGAAAACTGATTCTGCGGCCTCCACCGCCGCGCGACGGAGCAGAAAACACGGCATGCACACGTGCAGATTTTCGTTTTCCATGCCTCGCCGGCTTGTCAAAGCTCTGGGTCGTTTTCACTCAAGATGGCCGCAGCCGCAGGATTCGGCGGCTCGACCGCTTGAGCTGCTTCGTCTTGCGGCACAACCGCAAGAGGCTGCACTGGCAGGCCCGTTGCAGAACAAGACGGCTCGACCGCTGGAGCTGCCTCGTCCTGCGGCACAACCGCAAGAGGCTCCACTGGCAGGCCCGCTGCAGAAGAAGACGGCCAAGGCGGCGGAACCGGCGCTTCTGCCTGCAGCGCTTGCGGCTCAACCGCAATGGGCGGCGCTTCTGCCTGCGGCTCAACCGCAGTGGGCGTGTCCTCCGCGAGCTCCGCCGGTGAGGTCGGCGAATCCACTACAGCAGGCTCCTCCTCCATCGGATTATAATCCGGCGAGGAGTCCTCCTTGACTGCAGCTGGTGGATCCTCCGCAGCTGGCGGCTCGACCGCCTCTTCTTTTGCTGCTGCAGCGGGTGCAGCAAGCGGCTCAACCGCTTCTGCAGGCTTGCTCGCAGGCGGCTCAACCGCTTCTGCAGGCTCCTTCTTTGGGAGCTTTGACTGCGGCTCCACCGCAGACGCGGAGCTGGAAGAGCTGGGCGTGTCCCTCTGGACGACACGGCGCTGCTGCGGCCCTACCGCTGGCGCCCGCGAGCTTGGCCGGTATATGCCAAGTTGCCGCTCTATAGCGCGCCGGGACACGCCGTATTCCTGCGCCAGCTCTTTCATCTTCTCGCGACGTGCTGGGCCGATGTAAGGGAGCTGTCTTTTCCCTTGCCTTCGACGGCCGTCCTGGTCGTCCTCTTCTTCCTCCTCTATTTCTTCCTCTTCTTCCAGCTCTCCTTCCTCCTCCTCTTCTTCTTCTTCCTCATCTTCCCAGTTTTCCTCAGCAGCGGCCCAACCGCCTTGCTCCTCCCAACCGGCGTGCCAACCGTCGGCGGCCCAACCGCCCCAGTCTGCGCGCCAGCGTCGGCGTCCCCAAGGATCTCCGGCCCAACCGGAGTTCCAGGCGCGACCCCAGCGGTCCACCCAGAGCCATGGCATGGCGAGAGGCGGCGAGAGGAGTAAAAACCGAAACTGAAATATAGACGACTGCAGTGTGCTTGCTATAGGCTGTCATCGCTTGTTTCTTTTGCTGCTTTTGGCGGCTCCAAGTCACCGCTTCGGGTGTTTGAGCCTTCACCTGCATGTTGATGCGCTGCCGCTGCATGCATGCATTTTTTCATGCTGCGGCCCAACCGCCGCCTATATACTCATGCGTGTGCCCTCATGATGCATGCATGAGATTGGCATGCAGTGCGTCATGCGTGTGGGTGTGCTGCTGTGATGCACCATGCTGTCATGCATGCAGGCGCTGCGAGCAACACTGCTTCACGGCAAAACATGCAAAAATACTGCGGCCCAACCGCCGGACACTTACATTCTGCGGCCCAACCGCCGGACTCTAAAATTCTGCGGCCCAACCGCCGATTTGCCGCCAATGTATACATGACCGTGCAGGCAACGTGCGTGATGGCAACGATGCAAACACTTTTTTGACAGCGGTGCGGCTCAACCGCGGCGAGTGCAAAGCAAAGCATGCTCTGTTTTGCAGGGCGGCACGACCGCATATAATTATAATATATATATATATATACACTCTGCAATTTCTGTTGCCGCACACCAGTGCAACTTCAAGTTGTGCAAAAATGTTGCGTTTTTGCCTCCCGCACAAGTTCCGGATAACTTCCGGTTTTTGTAGTGAAATCTGCTACAAAAAAACACCGGAAGTTAGCAACTTCGATAATAACTTATTAACTTCCGCAACTATAGTCAGAAGTTATACCAACTTATAAGTTGAGTTCACCCAAGACAGAACACAAGATAGCCCAAGATATAACAGGGGTTAACTATGCGCGGCCCTGGTAGTATACATATACATATACATATACATATACATATACATATACATACACATACACATACACATACATACATGCGTACGTACGTACGTACGTACTCACGTACATATGCACACACACACACACATTCCTTATACATATGAACATCCATACCGTCCATACCTACACTCCGATTCTCACGAGCATTGCTTCAGCAGCGACTGGGGACCACTATCCCATAACATGTGATTTTCGAGGGGACTGATTAGCGAAAAACCGAAAGGTGCAAGTGCAAAAGCCTCCGGGCGCTGCAGCCGGTACCCCACCATACCCGTACCCTGCCCGCTACACCCCTGGGACCCCAACCTTGTCCCCCTGCACCTCTAAACCGATGAGCACGACAAGAAGACAACGATCGTTCTGCAGACCCAACACGCAAACAAGGGACCTGTACGATCACATACACCCCTATCCCCCGGCCTCGCTGTCTGCTCTCCCGCCCCGTCCTGACTTGCCCCTCCCCTCCTTGCCGATCCAACAGCGGAGGGAAGGCCGGCGGAGAGCATGACTCGCCAAAAATTCTCCCACCCACCAAACAGCCGGAATTTCAAAGCCTCGGCACATTTCTGCATAGCTTCGGCGTCACCAACGTATGCAGAAGTTATGCGGGAGTCGGGCGATTATGCACACAAGGCTGTGCCGACGCATCAAGAGCCGCTCCGACGCGTAACCGGACGATTTCCGTATAACTCCTGCATAGACCCCCGTGGCTATGTAGCTTCTGCAGAAGTCCGAAACGTAACTTCTGCATACATGCATAAGTTGTCCTCTCTCGTAGGCTCTTAACTTCTGCATAACTTCTGCACAGCAATGGCGGCTATGCAGAAGTACTCTGCATGACAAGGAACAGGAATGAGAAACTAGCTGCGGTGTGTGCATGTACATTATACGTGCAGCATGAAAGAATATGCAAACATACATACATGAACATACAGACACTCAGACAGACAAACACACTGATTGAGAAACAGACATACAGACAAACAAACATACATTCAACCCATCGATCCATTCATCCATCCATCCACCCATCTATACCCATCTATCCATACATGCAAGCATGCAGATGCATGCGTACATGCTTGCACGCCTGCATGCATACATACATGCAGTCACTCAGTCATTCATCTCGTTTTGTTTCATGTGAGGTCATGTCGTTCCATCCATCCATCCACCCATCCACCCATCCATCCAGCCATCCATGCGCATGCATTCGTCCATTCATTGCTTCATTGTTCCATTCTTTGTTGTTTCAATCCATTTCATGTCATACCATATCATTTCAGTTCAGTTCACTCCTCTCACTCGTTCATCCATTCATACATTGTTGCATTCCTTCATGCATTCATGCAGTCATTCATTCATTCATTCATTCATTCATGCATGCATGCATCAAACCATCCATCCATTCATCCATCCATGCGCATGCACGCAGGCATGCATGCATGCATTGATTCATTCATTCTTTCATTGTGTCATTCTTTCGTTGTTTCAATTCGTTTCATGTCATATCATATCATTTCAGTTCACTCCCTCACTCACACACTCAAGCATTCAGAATTCATATACTACTGGTATTGCAATGAATGAATGAATGCATCCATCCATCCATCCATCCGTCAATCCTTCCATCCATTTACTCGTTCTACTCGTTCGTTCATTCAATCGTTCATTGCAGTGATTCGTTCATTCGTTGCATTTCATCGCACATGCAATTTCATGTCATTTCACTATAATGCACTTCACTTCATTTCATGTCGTTCCTTCCATCCATTCATTCGTTCATTTTCCGTCGTTCAGGCACTGTACTTGTAGAAACAGACATAAGGGTAGATCTGCGCCCGTCCTATTTTTCTACTATCCAGTCACATCCAGCCACATCCAAAACAGTCAGCAAACACAAAGGTACTGAAAGACAAAAACAAAGAAGCAAAACACATTACTAGTACATGCTTTTGTATGTATATGTGAATGCATATGTATATGCATAAGCACAAGCAAATCTATTTATATGGCAAATCTATTCATACAGTATGAACAATTTTTATGGTATACGTATACCGTATACACGAGGGGGCTCCCTGAGTGTTAGTGAAACCCTTGAGTCCTTATTGCTGTAAGAGTGACGCGGCAGTGGGGTATAAGCCGTGGCAGTGCTGGGACACCCCAAGGCCCACACCACCGAGCACGTAGAGGTAGCCCAAAGCCACCACACAGGTGGCACACCAGCTGTAGCTTTGCATCGGCGGTAGCTCCTCCGACTGGGAGATGGTAACCGACTGGCAAAATTCCGAGACCTCTAAGACTCAACATAGTCCTCCCAAGTCCGGCTTTCGGTGTTGTAGCGCTCCGCCCCGCTCAACACCTGGCAACAAAAATCCAACACATGCGTCATACAAACCGGGCCGTTGAAGCGAGGCAGGCTGACAGATTCAAACCTGTCCTTTTTGGCGGCCCTACGAACTGAGGCTCAAACCGCTCCGTCTTAGTACAATGAAAGAACAACAGATAAAATGCAAATGCCTGTAATCAGTGTCCTGGTGCCCAACTATGCCTTGTACTAGCTACCTTTTACAGAATTCGCCCTGGCACTGTAGCCGACTGTAGTCCATGCTTTCCGGCTTTTGCTGAGACTCTCGCTCCTGTCTCCCTAATGAGGACGGATCTTTATCTGCAAATCGTATTCTGATAACCGCCCCAGGAACATCCTCCGTTTAATGCCTCCTGCATCTCATCCCAACAATGAACGCACAGAGTCGGAGACCAAGGCTCTGACTCGGCTCAGCGTGGGGCCATGCACCCCCTCCCACGCAGAGATCTGCTAGCTCGAATCTTTCTGAGGCGACGCGCAGACTGCAACGGTTGGAAAGACCGGCCCTAAACACAGCGCCCTGCACGACTGCCATCTCAGTTGTCACTCCATGGGACTCTTTTGACATATTCTGAGCCGCATCACGGTCCAAATCTGGACAACAGTCCTACTGTACGGCAAGGGAAACCGGTGACACCAAAGCCGCCGAAGTCGCAGGCATGTCGTGTGGTTCTGCAGAACCAGAGGCTGCTTGTTTGATAAACACGCCCCTCCCGGCTATGTCAGGAGCCCTGCTCTCCTTTGGCGGGGCTAGGAGTTCTTATATATGGGCAGTACTCCGTCCTAAGGTTCTTCGAGTTCAAGTTCGGCGTGATGATCTTGCTTGCGACGGCGCAGAACAAGTCTGTGGCCGTGGACTCTTCCGCGTACCGGTCGTCGCCGCCGTTGAATACCCTGGTGTAGTACTTTCCAGTCTTGGCCCTGACATCTGCCACCGTGGCCACCACTCGATGCTCCTGCCGCAGGGCGTGACCAAACTGAAAGGACTCCCGATAATTACGAAGCAGCAGCGATGAAACTTTGCTTGTCCCGTCCTCGGGAAGAGCACGAAAGCGCAGCTGTATGTCGCCGCCGAGCGCGATGACGGCAGTGGCAAGCCAGGTCTGTAGGTCGGCCTCGAAGTTCTCTGGCAGCTGGACCTGGCGGGAGACAGTGCCGGGCCTGAAACCTCTCAAAGCTCTTAGAATCGTCGGCTTAGAGTTTATAGAGGGTTTTTACAAGTAGGGTCCAACAGTCACGTCAGCGAGCTGCTTCCCGACAGTGCAAATCCGAGCGCCTGCCTGGGCCAGGGCCTCCCACTGTCGGCAGATGGCTTTGCTCTGCTCGGACAGGTTGCAGTCCTTCTGGATTCTCAAAGGCTCCCCCGTAAAATCTGCGGCCTCACCGAGCTTCTGCTTGTAGTTTGAGAGACCTCCAAGATCGCAAGCTGGGTGCGAGAAGACACCCTCCTTCAACCCTCGGCTTACAAAATCAAGCGTTTGAGAGCCCACATGGTACATCATCAGCGAGGTCTTCTCGGGCAGATCCTCTGACTTCAACTCGACCAAACTGGCCGTCCTTCCAGTATCCTCCAGGGCGTACAAGATGAACTTACGCTTCCGGAGCACTGACGGCGCACCCGTCTGTGGGAAGAGCTCCGTGCAACGGCTGCCCTCTTCGTAGAAAGCCGCCACGACCTTGCCCTGCCACTCCTCGTAGGCTTCTTTGTTGATGAAGGCTTCCTGCCGCGAGCCACCTGCCGAACATGATGCAAGCTCCAAGAGGCACAACTGCGGGTGTTGCCGCCAGGCACGTGCACATTGCAACAACAACAACAACAACGCTCCA